CGCCCCGACCCCGCGCCCCCGCCGCCTCCGGGCTCCGCGATCGCAGCCTTGGGGCCGGGCGAGTCGGAGGCTCGGGGCCGGGGCACTGGGGACGAGCGGCGAGAAAAAGTAACCGTGGCCGCACGGTTTCTTCTGGAGAGAGGCGGGAGTTTCTCTGCTATGTGCACGTTCACGGGGTTATCTCTGCAAAGCCTTTGAATACCCGGGGTTTGCGGCCTAGGAGGCGAAGGTGGCATTTTTTGACTGGAGATTGGGGAGGGGGTTAGAACCCACCAGCAAGGAAAGAAATGAATGCCCCCATGGGGCAGATTTATAACATATTTACCCCCCCCCCCAAGCACACCCCACATGAAGTGCAAATTCGGGTCATGAAAAACATGGAATGGGTTTGAGATGCTGCAAACACACACACACACACACACACACACACACACACACACACACACACACACACACACACACACACCAGGACGGGGGAAAACACAAATAAAACTTTTAAGTGAAAGAAAAGATTTTTCCAAAGGAGGGGGAGAAAACTGTGGGTTTTACACCCCCCTTCCAGCCCTTGCTGACTTCTCCCCCTGCCTTGCTCCGCGGCTCCCGGGGAAGCAGCCCGGCGGCTCTGGGGCGGAGAGCGGGGAGCGGGGAGCGGGGCGGCCACGGCGGAGGCTCCGGGCTCCGCTCCGCTCGGAGGGCTCGGGGATGCCAGCGCGCCCGGAGCCCGGCGTCGGGGGCGAGGGGCCGCGATGCCTCGGCGAGGATGGCGCGGTGTCAGAGCCGTTGGCCGCCCGCGGTCATCCATCAATCCCGGGGCTGGGGGAGCGGGAGAAAGGAAGACGGGGCCGCGAGCGCAGCACCCACAGTGCCAGCGGCGGCGGCAGAGGCGACGGCAGTGGCAGCCGGGGACTCGGCGAGTAAGGCGAGCTGGTACTCCAGGAAGGAAGGGGGAGCTGGAGCCCGGACGAGCCCGAGGGCAGGGCGAGCCTGCGAGAGTGTGTGTGTGTGTGTGTGTGTGTGTGTGTGTGTGTGTGTGTGTGTAGTTGGTGAAGCCTCCCCACCCCCCGGGTTAAAACAAACACACCAATCCAAAGTAGAGAATTCCGCGCCCCCCCGCCCCACCGTATATAGCCTCTGCGCGTGGCCAGAGGCGCGGGAGGAAAAGTCCTGCCCTTCCTCTCCTCCCGAAGAATGCGCCAGCCGGGTGTCCGCAGTGCTGGAGACAAGTTCAGGTGTAAGTGCGGCGGCGGGGAGGGCGCTCCGCGGACAGCGGCACGTGGAGCTTTCGGCATCCCTCCCGAAACCCTGGCGGAGTAGCCGCCTGGAAGGCTCGCGCGAATTGCCCTGGGATGCAGAGATGAGTAACTGGAGGTGGGCATGCGGGAGCCAAGGCGGGGGGAGTTTCTGCGATCACCGGATCCGTGCAGCCAGAGGGAGGAGAACGAACGAAATTTGGCGCCGTAGGAGCGGGCGAGCTCCAAAGTCTGGCCAGGCGGGTCGGGTGATCGTCTGAGGGCAAGGGAATGAAATGAGCATCCTCTGACGACGATTTTGTATTTCACGATTTTGCGGGCTCCTTTCTCATAGGCTATGCCACGGCGGTGCTTGGGGGGAGAGGTCAGGAGTGGCTGCGTGGAAACTTTTTGGTAAATTGGATTTCTGGTGTCTAGGAGGTGGAGACAGTTGTTTAATTCCTCGTCGTTTAATCCTTTCACTGCCAGCAAACTTTAAAATGTTTTCCAACTAGATTTCCTGGGGAGGGGGGACATTGCAAGTTGCACAGCTTAAGGGACAGGAGAAATGACTGCTGTCTAGGAAATGCAAAATGTGCCCACAGGGCATTTTTTTTTTTTTAAGAGAGAAATCAAAACTAACACCAGCATGAATGTTTGGCATTGCTAGTCCCTTTTTTATTTTTTCTTTAGGATTTCTGGCATTTAGTACTGGGTTCCTTTGTTTTGTGGAGCAAATGTGTTGAAAAACTTAAAAATATTATACGCAAAAAGAAATGAAAGTGTGATGAGATGCTCCAAAATCTGATCATTTGCAAGGTTTTCCTGCCTTAAATATATGAAGCAGGGTGAGGTAGCTTCTTGATAGTTGAAGGCAGTGTATCATTGTGTCTTGTTGCAAGCTTTTAACACATTTCTCAGGTAGAGGAGGGAAATGACCCGTTTCTGAAAATTTACCCATAAAGGTCTTTCCCATGTGTTGGTGTTTAAAATTCGTAGGATGAGTTCATTTTATGATGTGAGTGGGGGCAAACATAGCATTTTTAAAAATCAGCTTTTTTTTATTGACTTGTCTGTAAAGGTTCCTGTGAAAGTTGTGAAGCTCTGCCTCAGTCTGACATTTTCTTCAAAGGACCCCAGATTAAAGAAGATAGACACTGCAGGTGCACTGTTTTGATAAAACATTTGAAAGAGAACATGGTTAAGATGAATTCAAATGAGGTGCCAGTCACCCATTTAGCCATTCAGCGTCCCAGGGGCCTGTGCTTGCTGCTGAAAAGATAGTCAGTTTGTCTTGCTGGGCAAAGGTGCAAAGGTCCACTTGGTAGAAAAGGCAACCCTTCGTTGACTTGAGGATAGAGCGGACCATTTAGGTGTGTGAATTGAGCACTTTCTAAGTCCCGTCTCTCCTAGGCTTCCAATGGCAGGGTCTAATGCTAACTCCTGTAAGTCATTGCATACACATTTACATAATGGGTATGTATATTTTATTTTAATTAGTGAGTTTGTTCCAGAAATACTTAAACTGTTTCTGGCACCGAGGACAAGGATTGTTCCTGAGAGGTCACAATGGTCTAGACATGGGTTTTGTTGCCTTCTCTTCTTCATGTTCTGTATTTCACACAATAGACATTGATGGCAGGAACATAAGAATTGCCATGCAATTTTTACACCACTCTCTAATTGTGCAAACACTTGAAGTTCTCGCAGTCTGGAAATGTGCTTGTGTGTGTGTGTTCCCCCTCTGTGCTTTGATGGCTAGCATTCTTTTTAATGGCAGTCATTTCTATAACAGGAAGATGTTTTCATTTGTATTTACTTTTCAACATGGCACAATTATGCAGTTTTGCGCTTCAGTACCGTCTCGGTACTTTGTGTCTCAAAAGAGAATTACAGTACTTAGAACAGGACTGCAATTTGAAGCAGGTGTTGTGTTTTACTGTTCTGCAAAATAACAGTAAAATATAATTGTGGTGGGGAAATTAAGGAAACAGCTGCAAACTTGGTATGAAAACTGCTACATTATGATTCGTAAGCAGTTCTTACAGATATCTTACATCAGAGGGGTTAAGGAAAGACTTTAATTTCGTTAATCCTACGGGCCTGCTTGTCTATCAACTGATGCCTAAAAGGACTCATACCTCCCATGAAGTCAGGAAGAAGAAAGGGAACCCAAAGGGACACTTTAAAATGCCAGCGCACCAGGGATTCCTCCTTGGGCAGGGCCTTTTGTACATTAGGCACGAAGGCAAGGTTGGGTGTGTTGTTCAGCTCGCCTTGCTAAGATGAACAAGGCGACGATTTGAGTGGAACGCTGTGGAATTTCTCAGCCCAGCTAGCATATGGAGGACTCCACGAGCCCCGGGTTGCGAAATAATAAAATAAATGGCCTATAGCAGGCCATCTGCCTTTTGCTTGATATGTAAGGTGTTTCGTGCCAAATTTAAATCCAATCTTGTTATTCTACATATTTTTATTTGCGAGAGCAGCGAAGACTCAGACGCTTAATGGGGCACAATGGCAAACGGGTTCGGATGCGGAGCGCTTGAAAGTCAGAGTGCGGGTTACCCAGGGGTTACCCAAGGACTGTGCTGCCTGCCGCCACTCCTCCACGGCGCTGATCGATGGCAGCAGCCTCCACGGGGGGCTGTGCTTGCTCCGTCTTTGCACACCTGCTATAAAAGTAAACACCCTCCTTTCTGGACACGGTGCAGCACATCATACATTGACATTTAAAAGAAGATTCAGAACGAGTGGAAAGGTTAAAAAAAAAAGTATGAAATTAATTACTGAGAATTAGGCAGCAACAAGCAAGAAGGAGGCAGGTGGGGTACGTAAGGGTCCCCCTCCTTTTAGTGCTTCCTCTTGCCTGGAAGAGCGATGGTAATGAATGCATCTGAAGTGGTGGTCCAAGCCTGTGGGTGTCTGCCTTTCCCCCAAGTGACTGCAGTCTTTAGAGACACGATGTTCGATTTAGCACGAAGCGTTTGCCCTTCCCTAAAGTTCTTTGCTGGAGTTGAATGCATATGTGTATTCAACTACACATATACATATGTTCAAAATACACAGGCATTGAGTACCTATGTATTTTGGGAGCCGCCTCATAAAAGAAAAAGGAAATACGTTTAATGTGTACACGTATGATGTGCGTAGTAGTAGTGCAGGTACACACAGATATTGTGATGAGCACAGCTTTTTAAACTTACATAGGTTATTGCATGTTATGGCTGCGTTAGGCACTGAGATTTCAAATTATCATCTGACACCAACTTTGTACTGACCCAATATTCCAATTAGCAGGAAGACTCTCGCACTTCAAGCGCAAACCATTTATAGTTAGACTCCATGGCAACTGGGGATATGGCCCTTCTGTAATTCATGTTAAGTGCCATAATTATAATTAAAGAGGAAATCTTCGTTTGAACACCATTGAAATGATTTGCTGGCAGCCAGCGGTGTCACATGGAGTGTAATGTCCACTCTGAAGTGCTCGCAGGATAGAGAGTTGGAAAAGGTTGTATCCACGAGACAGCAACACATTTTGAGATTTTTTTTTTTTTTTCTGGAACCAATTTCATGTCCGGGTGTCACACAGTTGAACACTCTCTTTTTCTTTGTTCTCATTTTACAATTTTTTTTCTTTCCCCCAGAAACGCACAGCAGGATTGATGAGGAGATCCTTGGGTTCAGAGGTCGGCTGAAGTGCACCATGCCTGCTTCCACCCTTCGCTCCGGAAAGTTGTGAATTGCTCATGCCTATAGAGAGGAAGGATGGCACATGGGATTCCTTCTCAAGGCAAAGTTACCATATCGGTGGATGAATACAGCTCTAACCCCACCCAGGCCTTCACGCACTACAACATCAACCAGAGCAGGTTCCAGCCGCCGCATGTACATATGTAAGTATCGCTCGTGAACTTTTAAAAACTAGCAACCAAGAAAATAGACATAAAATACGAAAGTCACTGATGACGGATGCCGGGGAGAATAAAAGACCTATGATTCGCAAAACAGATGCTTATCTGGGGTCCCCAGTATAGCTTGGGGGAATACCCTACCTCTGTGTCACACCTCAGGTTGTCAGAGTACTTTCAACCACAATTTGATTTGCAGAGCCTCTCATGGGTGGTGGTGGATTGCCCACATTTTTTGGATTACATCGGAGAGGTTTAGGTATTTGCCTAATGTCCCATGATGCATTTTGGCTGAGTCGCCTCCTGATCCCCTAGCTCAGTGGTCGGCAAACCTCGGTTCTCAAGCCACATGCGGCTCTTCGGCCCCTTGTGTGTGGCTCTTCCACAAAATACCATGGCCTGGGCGAGTCTGATTTGAAGAAGTGGCGTTAGAGAAGTTTACGTTTAAAAAATGTGGCTCCCAAAAGAAATGTCAATCTTTGTGCTGCTGAAATTTGGCTCTGCTGACTGAGGAGTTTGCCGACCACTGCCCTAGCTCAGTTTGCTTTCTGTTGTATTGCTTGTCTCCGTGAGGAAATATTTCTTGAAAATTTCTACTTCCTCCCCCCTCACCTCACCTTACTACCCTTTGACATTCAGTTGGGAAATAGGCCTAATTGGGACTAATTGTTCAGCCCCCACTGAATCCGCTGCCTGGCCTGTTGCTAGTGGAAAATGTGCTGCACGTGCATGATTCCAACAGGAAACGAAGGTTTAAGGGACGGTGGAACACGGGAGTCCAGGAATTGTACTTTTCTCTCACTCCCTAATACTGTTTGAATCAAGTGTGGTGTAAACTGTTCAGGGAACCAAGTGTGGGAGAAATGAAGGGGCAGGATTTTGCAGCACCGGGATGCACACCAGCTTTTTCTGTTCCTCTGCTGCAGGATGTGCGGGGCTCTCAGCAGATGGGGCAAAAGGTCGCCCTCTCCCTTGTTTATTCAAGGCCCGGTGCGCATTCTCTATGAGACCCTTCCCATGGCTAACATGCGTCTTTCATAGAAGGACTAAACCTCTTTGAAAACTATTGTATAGTCAAGAGAGAAAGGAAGTTAGGGTTCTGTTGACTGTTTTTGCCATCCCTGGCAAATTGGACTCGGGGCATGTCGAAGTCACATGCTCTTTTTGTTTTTTGTTTTTAGTAATGGTTTTATATGGGCATTTAAAAAAATAGTGGGACTGCCCTCCCTCAAAACACTCCCCCCCCCCCCCCCCTCTCTCTCTCTCTCTCTCTTTTTCTCTCTCAAATTTAGAAACACTAACCAAACGAACTACCTGAACCCTTTGCTCCAGCTGCACAGGTTGGCTCTCTGCACCTGAGCCTTTCCATCTTGGTGCTGTGCTCAGCTTCAGTTCAGGCTAGTTTACATCTATGAAACCTCTTCTGTCTCCCCCAGTCTGAACTGACTGTGCCTTCCCTAGCCCAAAAAAGGTGCCCTAGTGTGTGTCTGTGTCTGTGTGTGTCTCTCTCTCTCTCTCTCTCTCTCTCTCTCTCTCTCTCTCTCTCTCTCTCTCCCCTCTCTCCTCCCCTCTCTCTCATTTATTTCTTAAGGCAGGGATTGAGTAGGTAACAGGTGTTTAAGAAATACTGATTGATTGCTCAGTCCATCCATTGATTTGATTGTACTGTGCATTGAGATAAGAAACTATGCCTGAGATTTGAAGATTTTCATAGGCATTTTTCTGAGCTGTTTTATCATTATGAGTGTTTGAATGAAAGTGTATTCCTATTTTCATGATGTTGACCCACCTTTTCCTTGTCTTTACTTTTTCATGTTTCATGTGTTGGCAGTAACTGGGCCCATAGTAGGCATCCAAATATCTTGGTGAAATGTGCTAATATTATATTTCTGTAATTTTTTTTTTAAAGATTGCTCTTAGTCCAAATAGAAACTTAAATTGGCTGGAAAATACCTATAAAACTTTTAGTCTAAAATTTCTTCAGTTTTTTTTTGCGTGTGTGTGTTTTTTAATTTTTAACATGTCACACAGAGCTTTGCTCCTCTCCCTGAAGATATTTTGTCTTTTCCACTTGAAATGCTACTCATTTATTTTGCATGGGATCCTTAAAACATTTGTTTTCCTTTTTCACTTACAACTGAGGCCTCTGAAGAGCCACGGCAGATCACCTGGATTGAGTTGTAATCTTGCTTCTTTAAATGTTCCGTGGTTTTCTTTCATGCAGCCTTTCTGGGGTTTTCTCACCATAATTAAGGGCGAGCTCACTTCCCATTTAATTCAGTGAGTCTCATCTCAGCTTGTGACACCCCTCCCTCCCCCCTTGGTCAACTTACTTCCTTTTTCCAGGCCTCAGTCTATTTATCTGTAAACATTTGCACCAAATGATAGTTATGGATCTTTTAGCTCTGACATCCTAAGATGAAGATGGCAACCGAGACAATAATTATTTGCAAGCTTTGTTGCTTTGGGGGGAACACAGCCACATAAGACCTGCTCCTATCTTCATGAAGCCCATCGCTGATTTCAGAGCTGTTCAACTGGCTTTAAGAAGTTTACTGCTTGGTCTTGGTTTGCTGTTACCTGTGAGTTCTGATGAGGCTTTCTAAAACTCACTGGCCTACATCTCTGTGATGTAGAGACGTTTTTTACAAAATATTTTTTTTTAATTAGAGAGGAAGAGAGGGAGAGAGATAGAGAAACATTAATGATGCAGAGAATCATTGACCGGCTGCCTCCTGCATGCCTCACACTGGGGATGGATCCTGCAACCTGGGCATATGCCCTGACTGGGAATCAAACTGTGATCTCCTAGTTTATAGGTTGAGCCATGCTGGCCAGGCAGGAAGATTTTTTTTTTTTTTTTTAAGAAAGCAATCCTGTGTGACCTTGGGAAAGAATATTAAAACACAGCTGGTGTTGGCAGGGAAGAATTTAACCCAGAATTTGTGTGCCCCTCTTACCCAAAGTCTTGAACACACTAATAGGTGCGCTGATGGAAAACAAACAATTAAGAGGGCTTTATTTTTCTATAACCCCTTTCATCTTTCCCAAGAAGACTGTTGAGAGAAATATTTAGTATTTAATGACGGTGGAAGGAGCTGTCAAAGGAAGCAGTGTAGGTTTGAAAGTATCGGAATGATTTTGTATGTTTTTAATTACCTGAAGCCTTATATAATACTAGGGGCCCAATGCACTAATTTGTGCACCTTGAAAGGAACTGTGGGCCTCGAGGCTGCAATGGGCAGAGGGGCAGGTCTTGGCCCATCCTCCGCGCCCCCACCCGGTCCCTGCCATGGCCTCCAGTCCCCTGACTGCCAGTAGCCCTGATCCTGCCACTCACACTCCTACTCCCACATGCTGACAGAGTGGAGCAGTTGGGGCCGGTGCCAGTAGTGGATGTGAGCGAAGCTGGCCCCGATTGTCCCTCAGGAGCAGGGGGAGGTGGAGAAGCCCTGAGGGGTGATCAGGGCTGGCAGCTGTCACTCACACCTGCTGATGATGCCAAGTGACTGGGGCTAGTGTCAGGTGCCGGCAGTGGGTGCGAGCAGCTGCTCCTGCACTGGCAGTTGGTGCGAGTGGCTGCTCCAGTGCCGGAAGCAGGTTCAAGAGGAGCCAGCACCCGCAGCAGGTGTGAGAGTGGGCTGCCGGCCCCAATTGCTCATCAGGAGCAGGGGGAGATGGAGAAACCCCAAGGGGCATTCAGGGTAGGCAGCCACTGCTTGCACCTACTGATGGTGCAGAGTGATTGGGGCTGATGCTGGGTGCTGGCAGTAGGTACAAGTAGTGGCTCCAAGCAGTGGCTCCAGCATTAGCAGTGGGTGCCAGCACTAGGCAGGGCCATGGTGCGCAGGAGCAAATAATTTTCAGTAACCACCAGAGGCTCGCCCTGATGACAGCGACTGGTACCGTGCCTTGGTCTGGCGCCCTTGCTCATCTGCTCCACCATCCCGCTGTGGCCAATGTCCACCATTCTCCATGCTCTGTAGCCTGCTGCTGATGCCTGCCGTGTTTCGTGCGCGCCCCCTGGTGGTCAGCGCACATCGTAACGACCAGTTCTGTTCAGTTGTTCTTTTGTTTGGTCTATTTGCATATTAGGGTTTTTATATATAGAGAGAGATTATCAGAACTTTTTAGTAGAGTGTCCAACCATCAGTTTTTGCACTGAAAGTCCTGTGTTCTGAGAGACCCTTAGTCTCTTACTCAGTAAATGGTAGATATTATTATTAATGATTGTTTATAAATTCTGCATTTGTTTTTTTAATTATAAGTTGTTTTCATTCATTTTGAAAACCAGTAGAGTATAAATAAGTAAATAAATAAATAAAATAACTCACTGGTGTTTTCCAGCAGACTTTTTTGGGTGGGATGGCAGGTATCCTGATTTTTCAGATCAGAGATTAGGAATGTCTCACCTACCTTTAATTGCTCCATGGGAGTGACAGTCCCAAGAGAGAAGGAATCCAGTGAGCTGAGTGTTGCTTAGTTGTTCTCCAGGGTGTCACAGTGGCCTTCATGTGAGCTGGTCTCAGGTCCTTATAACCCCCACCAATGCCTTAAACTCTCCACTTGACAGACATTAAAAAGAAGCATTAAGAGTTAATTATAATAACCAGGGTTGAGTGCAAATGGTACAGCTTGAGCTGGGAAATGAGGACAACATTCATATGGTGGCTGAGAATGAGATCTGAAATATAATAGATATCTACAAATACGGATCCCACCAGTTAGTTACAGGCTTGGTTAGGCCATGATGGACAAATTACTGAACCTCAGTCTTTTCATCTGTAAAATGAGATGATTAATTCTACCTGAAGTGGAATTTTTAAAGAAGTACCTTCAAATGTATTTTTGGAAGCTGGCATTCCATAATTCCAGTGAATACACAGCTTGCTGTAGGACACTACTGGATGGTGTTTAAGGGGACTTGGATTCTAGTCCTGACTTGGCCACTAGTTAGGTCTATGATCCTTAGAAATTTGGGCTTC